TCTGTATTTAATGATTAATTCTGATTTGCACAAGGAAATAAGGTTCCTGCTACTCAAAAGGCAGGTAACAGATTTTCCAGGTGAAGCTTTATTTATTTATTTTATTTTATTAATTAATTTATTTATTTTTAAAGATTTTATTTATTTATTTGATAGAGAGAGACACAGCAAGAGAGGGAACACAAGCAGGGGGAGTGGGAGAGGGAGAAGCAGGCTCCCCGCGGAGCAGGGAGCCTGATGCGGGGCTCGATCCCAGGACCCTGGGACCATGACCTGAGCCGAAGGCAGACGCTTAACGACTGAGCCACCCAGGCGCCCCATATTTTTATTTTTTTAAAGATTTTACTTATTTATTTGAGAGGGGTGGGCAGAGGCAGAGAGGGAGAAAGAATCTCAGGTAGACTCCCCGCTGAGTGCAGAGCCCGAGCTGAGGGCTCGATCCCAGGACCCCAAGAACACAACCTGAGCCGAAACCAAGAATCAGTAGTCCAACAGACTGAGCCACCCAGGTGCCCCAGGTGGAGCTTTTAAAAGGTTGTTGGCTACCTATATTTTCTTTCTTACTTTGTCTTCTATAGATTCATAATATATTGGAAATTTTTTTATTCCCTGTCACCCATCCCTCTGTTATTTTATAAGGGGCATACTGTTCATAGATGTCTTTACCAATTTCACAAGATATAGGACATCAAGAAGGGATTGTGACGGAACCAGAAAATGAATGAACATCACCTAGAAATTCTAACTATGAAGTTAGATGCATTCACTAATGTTACCTTGGACTCACTCTTTTGGAGACAGCATAGTTTGACTTGTACAAGTTACAGTTGCATTATTTGAGGCAGCATTTTTGTTTGTTTGTTTTGTTGAGAAGGAGAGTACATGCTGATGCTGGGCAACAAGGGATGGACTGTAGTGGGCATTTGCCATGCTTTCTGGCTTCCTGGCATATTTTTCCCACCCTATATTCTGGGGGTTTGCTACATCATGAGACCTACCTCCCAAAGTTCCTACCTAGAAACTCCCCTCAAAGTAAGGTACCCTTAACTCAGAGAAGAGTGATGTGGAGAATAAAGACATACATGGAATTGATTCTGATGAGTGTCAAAGAGATGCACTAGAGGCCATGGTCCTAACTGCTACATCCCATAACTGTTAGCGATACAAGCTGTGGTACCTGTGCACAGTGGACGTAGAGGCGGCTGTAGGCTATGTGGGCTATTGCAGAATCTTCCCAAATGATCTTCTCGCTTTTTCCCTTGCCTTCCTCCCACCAATTCTCAAAAAGCAGCAAAAGGGATCCTGTTAAAAAATGAGTCAGATGAGGGCGCCTGGGTGGCTCAGTTGGTTAAGCAACTGCCTTCAGCTCAGGTCATGATCCTGGAGTCCCGGGATCGAGTCCTGCATCGGGCTCCCTGCTTAGCGGGGGGTCTGCTTCTCCCTCTGACCCTCCCCACCTCATGCTTTCTCTCTCTCTCAAATAAATAAATAAAATCTTAAAAAAAAAAAAATGAGTCAGATGATGTCACTCCTCTTCTCAAAACCCTCCATGGGTCTTACTCACAGTAAAAGCTGATGTCTTTAGAATTGTCTCCAACGTCTGCAACCTGGCCCCCTCGTCACCTCTTTGACCTCATCTCCTCATCATTTTTTTCCTGGCTCACTTTACTCCCACTACACTGGGTTCCTTGATATTCCTAGAAATCTTTGCATCTGCAGTTCCTTCTTTCTGGACACTCTCTCCCTAAATATTCACATTATTCATATAATATTCATGTTATTGGCTACATGAGTTTCTTCTTCTATGAAATGCCTCTTCGTATCTCTTGCCATATATGTATTGTTATGCTTTACTTAATGATTTGGAGTTGTTCCTGCTACCAGTCTCCTGTAGGCTCTTGCTCTGTTTATCTGTTCCAGTTTATAACTTTTCATTTTTTTTTTTACTATCATTTGAGGAACAAAAGTGCTAATTTTAATATAGTCAAATTTATCACTCTTTTATTATTTCTTTGGTGTCTGTTTAAGAAATCTTTAACCATGGGGCGCCTGGGTGGCTCAGTTAACCAGCGACTGCCTTCGGCTCAGGTCATGATCCTGGAGTCCCTGAATCGAGTCCCGCATCGGGCTCCCAGGGAGCCCGCTTCTCCCTCTGACCCTCCCCACTCTCATGTGCTCTCTGTCTCTCTCATTCTCTCTCTCTCAAATAAATAAATAAAATCTTTAAAAAAAAAAAAAAAGAAATCTTTAACCATGAAGTCTAAAAAATACTTGATTTTTTTTTTTTACTAACAGTTTTATTAAAGATGTTTTGGCATTTGAATCATTAATCCTTTTGGGTTGGTTTTTGCATATGGTGCCAATTCCATTTCCTTTATGGCTTTTGGCCTATTCAGTTTTCCTTCATGTGGCTATTTCTTTCTCTAGGTTTTCTTAGAAAGGCTTTCAAACATATTACTCAAAATAACCATAGAATTCTCTTGAGTTTCAAATTTTCTTTCTATAGGAATGTCCCATTTTCTTTCTAACGTTGCTTGCATATATCTTCTCTATTTTTTTGATCTTTCTTAAAAACTGACAGCACCCTTTTACAGATAACCAGCTCACGGTTTTATTAATCATATCTACTAGGATTTTTTTCCCTACTTATTAACATCTGTTTAGCACATTAATTCCTCCTTTCCAATTTCTTTGGGAGTATTTAGTAGGACTTTAGTAGAATGTGATTGAATTAAAGCTTAATTAATTTGTTTTCACTCTTTCTAGTTCCCTAATTTTAGGTGAGATTTTCTTCTGGGTATCACTTTGGCCCATCCCTTAGATTTTTCATATGCAAGTACTATCTATCATTTTCCTCTTCATTCTAAATAGTTTGCAATAGCCAGTGTTATGTTGTCCTTAACCCCAGGATTATTCAGATGTATGTATTTTAATGTACACGCATTTCGAACATTTTATATATTTTATTGTCTGTTGGTTTCTATTTTCATTATTATGTAGTCTGAGAGTATGGCATATGTGATACCAGTTTGGGGGCTTTATACTGTCTTTTATGTCCTACTTTTTAGAGAATTTTTATGAGTGTTCCATGTATATTTGAAAAAATGTTCTTTTTCTGGTTAAAAATAAAACAAAATGTAGATATATATCAAGTAAATTACTTATGTTATCCCAATATATCTTTATACCTACCTTTCTTCTATTTGATCTGTTTCTGAAAGATATGTTAGTTTGTTACTGTGACTGTGAGTTCCTCAAAATTTCCCTATTTTACCAGTTTTTGCTATATATATTTCAGAGCTATATTGTTAGATAAATGTTATTAGTGTTGTATGCTCTTGGTAGCTGCATCTTATTAAAATTTGGAACATCTCTGTTAATATTGTTTGCTTTGAAATCTGTATAATGTAATACTATCAACACACCTGCTTTCTTCTTGATAATATTCCATTGTAAATGATTTTTATACTCCTTTTCTTTTTAAATTTTTACTATGAAATTTTCACACAAATACTGAAGAAAACATTTTAATGAACTTTATGTATCTATCACCTGCTTTCAACATTTACCAACATTCTGTTATTTTTGTTTTATCCATCTACCCCTCCTCAGTGATGTTTTTTAAGCTAACATTTTGCTCGTTAGTATTTCTATAAAATCTCTAAAAGATAAGTCTTCTTTCTAACATAATCACACTACCAACAAAATTAACAGTTATTCTTAGACCTCTGATAAAAATGTGTATTCACTAACAGATTTCCACAGATTTTTTTCCTTCAACCAGGCTTTGGGAGAAGGAGAACCTGGTGTAAGCATAGTCCAACCCTCTAACTGGCCCTATTTTTAAACTGAATCCCAGAGAGAGACATAACTAGCCTGAAGGTACCTAGCAGGCCCACACCAGAGCCTAGGTCTAGTTCCCTCAAAACACTTTCCCCACTTCTGGGATTGACACAGACTTTCAGTAAGTCATAGAACCTCCTACCACCGTCAGGTAGAAGAACTTCCTGGCAGAGGCAATATTTAGCGGGGTTTTGAAGAATGTTTAGGAGTTCATCAGAGGAAAGGAATTGTGTCTTCACACGCCCCACCCCCAGACTTCAGGCTTCATTTACATCCCAAGGACGTTGTTATTACTTAGATTTTAATTTACAAAATAAACTTGTAAATTAAAACAGAAATAGCAGTTTTCCTGAAGTGCTTTTTGTCACACGTTGGCCACATTAAAAACCACTGTTGCCTACTAATGGAGATTGATGGGCATTCAAGGCTCCCATTTCCCTCCACCAGCCCTTCAGAAGGTGCCATCTTGCCATGGTAGTATCCTTCAGGAGAGGTCTGGACCACCACGACCTGTACCCTATTTCCCCAGGTGGTTCCTCCCATAAAAGGCTAAACGACCCTGCCTGCAGCCCATTCTGACATCTATCTTGCCGGGTGGGTTCATCCAGGATGGGGCTCCCATTCTGACCTCTCCACATTCTCCCTAAGCGGTTTCTCCAAAAAGTAGACTGTACTGTCCTAACTTCTCCCCTCATCCCTTGATGACTCCTCCCAGGATTCAGCCGTAACATATAAAACGTCTGTCCTTCTCCCTTGGTGATTTTTCCTCCCTAGCTCCCCTCATTCCTGGTGGTTTCTCCCAGCAGATAATGGCTCTCAGCCAAGCGCCGTATCCCTAGAGGCAAACTAGCTTTTCTAAATATGACACAGAGTACCAGGCCCCATCGCCAATACCTTCTCCCTCACAGAAGCCTACCTCGACCAGGGCCTCACCCCTGCATTCTATGTGGCAATCCCGGCCTCGCTCTGTGAAAACCGGCGGGAAGCCTCTCCCTCCGCTGTGCGGAATGGACACGCCCCAAAGATGGCGGCTCGCGCGCAGAAGCACCATTGGGCGAGGCCATGTTCTCGGTCCGACCGCGTCTCTTACGAGAACCGCACCATGTTAACTGTTGGCATATGCGGCTTCCAAGGTAACTCAGAGCATGCGCACTAGCAACAGTTCATTAGAGGAGGTGCTAGAGGCCAGACCGGAAGCGGAAGTGGTCCTCGAAAGGTTTTTTTCGCCGCTAATGTCAGGAGTTTCTCCGCATTTTAATTCCGAGGGGTCTCTGAGGTGATTTTGGTTGGTCGTGATTAGGGATTCTTTGGGGTCGATGATGGGGGTGTTGTCCGCAGAGTGAGTGATGGTGGTTTCTGGGCTCAGTGGTGAAGAGTCTGTGGCGTCCGTTGCTGTGAGAGGAGTGATGGGAGTCTCTTGGGTCAGTGATGGGGATCTTTGAGATGAGTATGGGATTTGTGGGCTCAGTGATGGGAGTCCGTGGTCACTGAGCTGTGGAGTCAGTTATGGGGGCCGGTGGGGTCTATGATGAGTTTGCTTTCTAAACATTAATAAGTTTTGATGTGTAGCATTTTATTGTTCAAATCTAAGTACTGGCTTTTTAAAATTTTTAGTTTTTTTTTCTTTCATCCGGGCGTTATTTAGAAGTGCGTTGTCTATTTCATGTAATGCCTCTGGGTAATGCTCGAGTTCAAAAATTTGCTTTACCGTTAGTTCTTGGTCGGTTTTCATAAATGTCACATCTATTACATCAAAACAGTGTGTTCTCATTGTATTGTTTCATATATATTTCTGTTTATCTTGTCTGCTTAATTAATTACAGAGAAAGGTAAACTCACTGGAGTGATTTGTCCACTTGTCCTTCCTTCTGTCAGTATCCGCTCTGTATATTTGAAACTATTATTAGGAACAGTTGCTTATTTTTAATAATAGATATGACTAAATAACTCAAAAGATACCATAACAATTCAGGCTCCCACCAGTAATTTATAAAACGGGTCATTTTCCCAAATGCTTTCCAGCACTGGATTTTTTAAAATAAGTTTTTACTGGGCACCTTGGTGACTCAGTCAGTTGGGCGACCGACTCTTGATCTCAGGGTGGTGAGCTCAAACCCCGCGTTGGGCTCCACGCTGGCCTTGGAGCCTACTTAAAAAATAAAATAAAATTAATAAGTTTTTACTATTCTTAGGAGAAATTATATGTAATTGCTGTAATGTGCTTTCCTGGTAGTAAAATTGGCATCTTTTTGGTTAATTACTATTTAAATTTCCTTTTCTGTGAATTTTCATATCCTCTGTTCAGGGTTTTTTTCTGTGCTTTTTTTTCCATATTGATTGCTAGATTTTTTTTTTTTAATTTAGAGATAACTTGTTACATATTGAAATTTTATATATATCTTCATTTTTATTTTTAAAGTGTATTTTAATATATAATTAAGAAATATCCTCTAACCAGAAATATCCGTTTTTTTCTTTTATATCATCTGGGTTTTCTCATATACATAATAAGGATCTCTCCCACCCCACTACAATGTTCCTGCAAACATATACTACTAAAATTTATTTAAATATCTTTTGGAGTTTATAAAATACATATACTTAAATGTTTAGTCCTGCTGGAATTCAGTCTAATGTATAATGTGTGATGGGGATCTAGTTTGTTTTTTTTCCAGGTGGATGGTCAATTATGTCAGTGCCACTTACACAATAAATGTCCTGTGCAAACTCATTGAATGCCATTTTTGTTACATGTATAAGTCAGTATTGTCTGAGCTGTTGTTTTCTCTGTTTGATTACATTGTTTTTATATTAAGTTTTAATATCTAATAGAGAATGGTAATTGCTGATATTTATTATGTGCTTCTTGTGTGCCAGGGAGATGTTGAATACTTTATGAGCATCATCTCATTTAATTTTTATAACTTTATGAAATAGATACTTTCATCCTTATTTTTGAAACTAAAATGGAAGGAACTTCTTCATATTCTCATAGTTGAAAGATATAAGAGCTACAGTTCAAATTTTAAGTAATATTACTCCATATCTCATGACTAATAATCCATCACAGCTTTCATTAATTATATTCTCCACAGCACTGGTTCTCAAAGTGTGGTCCTTGGACTAGCAGCATCAACAGCACCTGGGCACTACTTAGAAATGCAAATTCTTGGACCCTGCTATGGTCTGAATGTTTGTGTTCCCCCAGAATTTTTATGTTGAAATCCTAATCTCCAGAAATACCATATCAATTGGTGAGGCCTTTGGGAACTGATTAGGTCATGGAGGTGGGGCACTCATAAGTGATTAGTGCTATTATAAAACATCCCACATAGCTCCTGAGCCCATTTTATCATGTGAAGACACAATGAGAAGCTGCTGGCTATGAACCAGGAAGAGGCCCCTGACTAAAATGCAACCATACTGTCTCCTTGATCTTGGACTTTCCAGCCTCCAGAACTGTGAGCAATAAATTTCTGTTGTTTATAAGCTACCCAGTCTGTGGTACTTTATTATAGCAGCCTGACTAGACTAAGACAGTTGCTACCCAAGGCCTATTAAATCAGAAACTTGCAGTGAGGTTGAGGAATTTTAACTGTATTCTAAGAAGTCCCAAGTGTTTTGAATCCACACTCAAGTTCGAGAGCCTCTGCTCTGTGTGTCTAGCTCAGGGAACTTCACCTTGGTGTTCACAGGAAAGGTTTGTGTGATGAATATCTAGTATCTGACTGTGTGGACATTGTCGTTCTAGGTTTTTTGGTGTCTCTGGGGAGCTCCTGGGTTAGATCTTCCAGACTTCAGCCTGCCTTTCTCCAGCAGCTCTGCTTGAGTTTACAGATGTCTACAAAGCTTTAGGCTCCTGAGAGAATAAAGTTTGAGACCTACCCTGATCATGTCAGCTAATCGGACCTCTCCCCAGAAATCCCTGGTCCAGGTTCCAGAGGAATGTGATAATTCATACGAGGTGAGAAGGAAGAATCCCAGGGGGTAGGGAATTTATCCTGCGAGTAGATACCTCTGATATGTCACCAGAGCCTCTGGGCAGCGGCAGGTGGGTCACAGGAAGCAACCAGACTCCTTTACTTCCCTGAAGCAAATCTTGATCTTTTCTGTCAAGAATGAGCAACACATGGGTGTCTCCACATCTAGAGGCCAACTGTATGACAGTGGAGAAGTAGAATGTCCAAAACTGCCTTTTATTTTGTCCTCATGCTATGCTGATCTTTGGCCGAGGATAAGATTCCTGATTAGAAATCGTTTTTGTGCGTAATTCTCAAAGTATTTCTCTATTTCTTCTTAAACTGTTTCTCCCCACATAAATATTTCTCTTTTTTTAAAATTTGTTTTTTAGATGTTGGTTCTCCATTGATCTATTTTATGAACTACTTCCAAAAACATTAATTCAGGCAGACAAAAAATATGAAACTTTGCTATAATGTTGATTTTACTCTCTAACCAAGAGCATTAAATTAGAAATACGAAGTAAAAGACTTTTGCACAACTTTGGGAATAGACTTAATATCTGATCTATACATTTTAAAATGGTAAATTTTATGTACATTTTACTACAATTTTTAAAAAACAGTTTAAAAAAAGTAAAAGGCTAGCAAAAGAAACCCTCGTATCTGAAAACTTTAAATTTTTTCCTACATAAATATTTTTAAAGGGAAAACCATAAAGGATCTTAGAAAATTCCTTGAGTTTAATTTCCGTTAAATAAAGAACTACATTTTAAAGTTTGTGTGCAAAGCTAAACTATAGATAGAGGGAAAAAATACAAATTTAAATGCCTTTTTAAGGAATCCTGGAAGTTTGGGGGAGAAAAGACCTAAGGTATGAGTAACACTTAGAACTGAAGAAGTTAGAAAAAGAATTCAATAAATAGGGCGCCTGGGTGGCTCAGTTGGTTAAGCGACTGCCTTCGGCTCAGGTCATGATCCTGGAGTCCCGGGATCGAGTCCCACATCGGGCTACCTGCTCGGCAGGGAGTCTGCTTCTCCCTCTCCCGCTCCCCCCTCTTGTGCTCTCTCTCTCACTCTCTCTCTCAAATAAATCTTTAAAAAAAAAAAGAATTCAATAAATATAAAATAACAATAAGGCCTAGAAAATAACAATAAAATAAGGGAAGAAATTAGTCACGTAGAGTCAAACATAATTGATGAAGATGTCTGACAGAAGCATAAGTGGCTTCTGAATGTGGTGGTGATCAAGAACAGGGAGTAAAGATACACTGGAAGTATGTAACAAAACAGGAGAGATGGTTACTGCTTTATCAAAGATTAAAACAATCTTGAATGAATATTATACAAAATCAGAAAAATCTGAAAACCTAAACAAAAGGGATACAGTTTTACAAAAAATAAATGTCAAAATTGGTAAATACAGATGGTTCAGAAGCCCTTGAGGAAATTAAAATGTTTATCAAACATTTCCTATACAGTCAAATATGATGGAAAACATCATGTGGATTAATAGTTGATCTTTATGCCAAAGTTTCGAGTAAAGATGATGATCTAAAGTTATTCCCAACCTTGTTTGTGGTGTTTGTTTTATTTTGTTTACTATATGAATCTTGATGCCCAAACCTATCAAGAACAGTAAAAGAACTCGAAATTATGAACATAGATGCAGAAGTCATAAATGTATTAACTAACTGAATTCAAGAGTACATGAAAACAATAGCCAAATAGGGTTTATCATACGGACACATGTGAAAGAGACATTATTTCCTCATTTAGCAGTCCACTCCAAAGTTAAAATAATAAAATATCTCAAAAATAATAAAAATGCTATATATCAAAAGATAAGATATACAGCAAAACAGTGTTCAGAAATAATTTAGAAAAATAATTTGTCTTATGCAAATAAATATAAAATCTAGATGGAGTGGATGAATTTCTAGGAACATATTAAATTTCTCACCAAATCGGGGCACCTGGGTGGCTCAGTTGGTTAAGCCACTGCCTTCAGCTCAGGTCATGATCCTGGAGTCCCGGGATCGAGTCCCACATCGGGCTCCCTGCTCAGTGGGGAGTCTGCTTCTCCCTCTGACCCTTCCCCATCTCATGCTCGCTCTCTCATTCTCTCTCTCAAATAAATAAATAAATAAAATCTTTAAAAAATAAATAAATAAATTTCTCACCAAATCTTAAATTACTATTTACCACATTTTCACTTTTAGGTATTAAGATTTTTATTTAAGCTAATTCTACTTTTAATAAAATTAGGATGCAGCTTTGGAGAGATTTATTTGCACTGATTTTATTCTGCTTCGTGAAATGTTAAGTTTTGTGTAAAGTGTGTGTGTGTGCAAATTTTATGTTTAATATTTCTGAATGTTATAGAGGCATATGAATTTTTTAGGACACAGAATTTGCTGTCTTATCAATAAGCTATCTTATATAGTTATGACGTTTGTACAGTGTGTTTTTTGTTTTTACTTTATCTGTTGGAGCTGAGAGATACTGTTTCCCACCACAAATATATTTGTCTATATCTGTAGTTTCTGTTCATAAACTTCGATGCTATGAAATTTGGTGTGGTGATAGTAATGACATCTGAAATTAATTTTGGATTGTGTCCTTGTTATATTTAATAATTTTTCCCTAGAATTCAGCTCTATCTAATATTAAGATGGAGTTTGTTTCTTTTCTATTGGCATTTCCAGATATGTCTTTTGCTCATCCTTTTACTGTCATCCTTCGGAGTCCTTGTGCACTTTTTCTGTACAGCAGTTTGGAAAGATGTATTTTACATACATTTCTGATAAAGATACTTCTTTTATATAGCTTTCACCTTATACTCTGTATTCTTACTTTGGTTCTGTGTCCGTTCTGGTAATTTGGAAGGTTTGGATTCTTTTCTGTATGGTTGGTTCTTTTAATATGATCTTTGTCACATTAACATCTTGAACTCAATCTTTTTTTTTTTAATATTTCAAGTTTTTATCTAAATTCTAGCTAGTTGACATATAGTGTAGTATTAGTTTCAGGAGCAGAATTTAGTGATTTATCACTTACATATAACACCCAGTGTTCATCACAAGTGCCTCCTTAATCCCCCATCTAGCCCATCCCCTGCCAACCTCCCCTCCAGCAACCTTCAGTTTGTTCTCTATAGTTAAGAGTCTCATCGTTTGCCTCTCTCTCTTTTTTTTTAATTAAATCTTTTAATCTCTTGTTTTAGACAATATCTATTAAATTTATACTGTGACTAATGATAGAAGTTCTATGCTTCCACTTCAAGGATTCTTTGTTTGTTAGATGTTTTGTTTTTTTTTTTTTTAAAGATTTTTATTTATTTTTTAGAGAGCGAGTGAGAGAGAAACAGCATGAGAGGGGAGAGGGTCAGAGGGAGAAGCAGACTCCCCGCCGAGCAGGGAGCCCGATGTGGGACTCGATCCCAGGACCCTGGGATCATGACCTGAGCCGAAGGCAGACGCTTAACCATCTGAGCCACCCAGGCGCCCTGTTTGTTAGATGTTTTTATTGAACTCTATTTTTTTTCTATTTTCCTTTAAAAGTCCTTATTTCCATTTCATGTTGCTCACTTGTCTTAATCTGCTCCTTGCCACTTTTTGTGTTTTCACATGGTGTTTTATTGCTTTCAGAGAGACCTCCCATTTCTGTATTGCTTGTTCATTTTCACTTCACTTTCACTTCACTTCTGCCAATTTATTTTTTTAAAATTTACATAACCATTTTCTTTAGCCTATTTGCCCATTATTTCTTCCTTGGACTCTTAGATTCCTATTTATTTTAGGCAGTTAATTGTTTTAGTGAATTCCTTGAAATCATGGTGAATGTGTTTTCTTCTATATTGTGGTAATTTATTTCTAGCATGTTCCTTTTAATTTCTTCTTTTTTTTCTCTCATTCTTTTTGCTATAGTATCTTTGTACATCAGGAGATGTTTATTATTATCTTTGAATGAGGAGATTTTTTTTCCTGGACAAACTGTTTATAAGAAGCTCATTTGGTAAGGAGTCAAAGCTACTAATATGACATCTTCTTTATTCCCCATTAAATTCTGATGACATTGGGTTTGAGGGCTGGGGTTTTGGTATATGTAGGGTATCAGTATCCAAGTATGTGAAAGAAAAATCGGAGCTCATGTATTCTTTGCAAGTACATACGGAACATTTTCAAAGAAATGACAATATTTTAAGCCCCATAAACAGAATCAACAAATCACAAAGAAGCAAACTATCATCTGTGACCACAATTAAATGAAGAAATAAAAAAAAATCGTAATTTTAGACATTAAAAACCACAGATATCTAAGATATACTTTCCACAGATACAGATATACTTTGTCTATCCTTGTCCTCCCTGTATGCTCTTTCCCTCTCCTGAATACAGTGGCCTGCTCTGTACATACAACTCTTGAATCTTCATCTCCATGCTAGCTCTCTATTCAACTACTTAGCGTACATCCTCGTATATGTCTTATCACCTAAATTTCAATATGTACAAATCAACAGTTGTACTGAAAAACTGATAATTGAGTCCCTTTTTCTCACCTTCACACCTGATGTCAATTTTATCTCCTTAATATCAATCCCTTCTATAGCTTTACTACTCCAGCCTTAACTTTAGGTAAGTAAGAAATTCATATTGTCTCACATGAATTGTGCAGGGGCCTCATGACCGACTTTCCACTCATGCCTATTCTGAAATGTTCTGTTTTGAGAATACACCTTCTTCAGTATATTTTTTAAATCTTTTTATTTATTTTGAAACAATTCTAGATCCTCAAAGGGCATTGCAAGATATAGTGGTGGTGCATGATTCTTTTTGTTCATTACTGATTGTAACTTGTTAATGTTTTGTTGAGGATGTTTGCATCTAAGTTCATGAGATATATTGTCCTGTAGTGTTCTATTTTGTGCTGTCATTGTCTAATTTTGATATCAGAGTAATGCTGGCCTCACAAAATTAGTTGGGAAGTATTCTCTTTTATTTTCTAGATGAGACTGTGTAAAAATGAGACTAATGCTTCTTTAAATATTTAGTAGAATCCTCTAGTAAAACTATCTGGGCCTGGAGATTTCTTTTTTTCAGGAACTTTTAAATTAAGAATTTAATTTAATGGTTTTAGGATCATCATCTTTTCTATTCCTTAATAGCTGACTTCTGGTAGTTTGTGGTTTTTGAAGAAGTGGTACATTTCTTCTACATTTTTGGGTCTATTAGCATAGAGTTTTTATAGTCTCTTATTTTCCTTTAAATGGCTGCTGGATCTGTTGTTTTTTTTTAAGGTTTTATTTATTTATTTTGGAGAGAGAACATGAGTGGGGGAAAGGGCAGAGAAATGGGGGGGAGAGGGACAAGCAGACTCTGAGTTGAGTGCGGAGTCTGATGCAGGGTTTGATCCCAGGACCCTGAGATCATGACCTGAGCCAAAACCAAGAGTTGGATGCTTAACCGACTGAGCCACCTAGGCACCCCTGGATCTGTATTGATATTTATTTCATTACTGACATTGGTGATTTTTTTTTTTAAGATTTTATTTATTTATTTGACAGAGAGAGAGCATAAGCAGGGGAGTGGCAGACAGAGGCAGAGGGAGAAGCAGGCTCCCCGCAGAGCAGGCAGAGCCTGATGTGGGACTCAATCCCAGGACCCTGGGATTGTGACCTGAGCTGAAGGCAGTCACTTAACCATCTGAGCCACCCAGGTGCCTGACATTGGTGATTTGTATCATCTTTTTATTTTTGCCAGTCTGTTGACTATTAGGTCAATCAAGAAAGCTTATCAATTTTATTGATTTTTGTCAAATAACTGGATTGTGTTTTATTGATTTTTCTTGTTTTTTTTAATTTTGTTTTCAATTTCATTGATACCTGCTCTTTATTATTTTCTTTCTTCTGCTTGCTTTGAGTCTGTTTTGCTCTTTTTCTAGTTTCTTGAGGTAGGAATTTAGTTTAGTGATTTAACAATTTTCCCCTTTATTTTATTGCTTTATGCTTGACATATAACATTATATTAGTTTCAGGTATATAACATAATATGATATTTGTATATATTGTGAAATGATCACCACAATAAGTCTAATTAACATTCATCATCACATATGCTTATAATTTTTTGTGTGAGTGATGAAAATTTTTAAGATTAAGCTACTCTTAGCAACTTTATACATTACAGTATATTACTAACTATAGTCACCATGCTGCAACATTATAGCCCCATGACATATTTATTTTATAACTGGAAGTTTACTTTTTGACTGCCTTCACCCATTTTGCCAACTACCCATCCCCCACCTCTGATAACCACGAACCTGTTCTCTGTGTCTGTGACTTTTGTTTTTTTATTTTGTTCTCTTTAGTTTTGAGATTCACATATAAATGAGATCATATGCTAATTGTACTTCTCTCTTTGACTTATTTCTCTTAGCATAATATCCTCTAGGTCCATCCATGCAAATGGCAAGACTTCTTTCCTTTTTTTATGGCTGAATAATATTCCTGTGTGTGTGTGTGTATCACATTTTCTTTATCCATTCATCAATTGATGGACACATGTTGCTTCCACGTCTTGGCTATTATGAACAGTGCTGCAGTAAACATGGGGGTGCATATATCTTTTTTGATTTATTTACTTAATAAATAAGGGAGGGAGAGAGAATCCCAAGCAGATTCCATGCCGAGCGCAGAGCCCAGTGCAGGGCTTGATCTCATAACCCCAAAAAACCTATGAGATCATAACCTGAGCTAAAACCAAGAGTCAGATGCTTAACCGACTGGGCCACCCAGGCATCTATCTTTTTGTGTTTGTTTTCATTTCCTTTGGATAAATATCCAGACATGGAATTGCTGGATCATATAGTAGTTCTAGTTTTAGTTTTTAGAGGAACCTCTATACTGTTTTCTACAGTGGTTGCACCAATTTACTTTTTTTTTTTTTTTTAAGTAGGCTCCACACCCAGCATGGAGCCCAATATGGGGTTTGAACTCATGACCCTGCAATGAAGACCTGAGTTGAGGTCGAGTTGGTCGCTTAACCAACTGAGCACCACCCCCACCCCCCCGGCAAGTTACATTTTTACCTACAGTGCACAAGGCTTCCCTTTTCTTTACTTCCTCATCAGTAATTGTTACTTGTTTTTTGTTTTGTTTTGATAATAGTCTTTCTGACAGGTATAAGGTATCTCATTATGGTTTTGATATGCATTTCCCTAATGTTTAGTGATATTGAGCACCTTTTCATGTACCTGTTGGCTTCCTATATGTTTTTGGAAAAATGTCTATTCACCTCTGCCCATTTTTTAATTGGATTGTTTCCGCTTTTCTAATGAAAGCATTTAGTGCTATGATTTCTCTTTCAGCATTGCTTTATGTGCATCCCAAAGGTTTTGATACAATGTATTTTCACTTTCAGTTCTGTGTATTTTCTGAATTTTCTTTTGAGAATTCCTCTTTGACTTACAGGTTATTTAGAAATGTGTGTTTAATTTCCAAATGTTTTGTGGCTTTCCAGATAGTTTTTATTACTATTTTGTAATATAATTCCTTTGCAGATTTTTCTGTTGTCTTTTTAATTTGATTCCATTATGGTCAGAGATGCTATGTATTATTTGAATTCTTTTAAATTTGTTGTGATTTGTTTCACAGGCTAGGTTATGGTCTGTCTTGGTCATTGTTCAATGGGTGCTTGAAAAGAATGTGTACTTCACTGTTGTTAGTTGGAGTAGTCTATAAATATTGATTAGATCCTATTGTTTGTTCTTTTATATCATTATTTCCTATCTACTGTTCCTATAAATTGCTGAGTGTGGGTATTCAGCTCCCTATAATCCTTTTTTTAAAAAGATTTATTTATTTATTTGAGAGAGAGGGAGTGTGTGAGTGAGTGCGAGGGGCAGAGGGAGAGAACCCCCAAGCAGATTCCCCACTGAGTACAGAGCCAACATGGGACGTCATCTCATAACCCACAAGATCATGACCTGAGCTGAAACCAAGACTCGGACACTCAACTGATTGAGCCATCTAGGCGCCCCTTCTATAATCCTTTATATGTGTGACTCGGGGCACTTGGGTGGCTCAGTCGTTAAGTGTCCGCCTTTGGCTCAGGTAATGATCCCAGGGTCCTGGGACTGAGCCCCACATCGGGCTCCCCACTCTGTGGGAAGCCTGCTTCTGCCTCTCCCATTCCCCCTACTTGTGTTCCCTCTCTCGCTGTGTCTCTGTCAAATAAATAAATAAAATATTTAAAAATAAATGTTTATGACTCTAGGTAAGAATTCCTTCAATTATGCATTTACAGATTAAATTTTTTTAATATGGAGGATCATGTTTTTAAAAAATATTTTATTATGAAAAGAAGTAAATGTATACAAAAGTAAAGAGAGTAGTTTAAGGAGCCCTTGTATCTGTTTTGCTTACCACCTAATGTTAGTAGTCATCAATATTCTGCCATTCTAATTCCACCTAAAACAACCCTCCTGCCCCCTTAGCTGCTGGATTATTTTAAAGCAAATCCCAAACACCTATCTTATCTGCAGATACTTTGACATGTATCTCTAAGAGATGAGAATTCTTTTTTCTTTCTTTTTGTTTAACATAACTAGTATGTCATTATCACACCTAAAACAACAGTAATTCCTAGATATCATCCTGTACCTGGTTATTGTTTGAGTTTTTTTTTTTTTTTTTTTTTTTTTTTTACAATTTTTTTTTTTAAGATTTTATTTATTTATTTATTTGAGACAGAGAGAATGAGATAGAGAGAGCATGAGAGGGAGGAGGGTCAGAGGGAGAAGCAGACTCCCTGCCGAGCAGGGAGCCCGATGCGGGACTCGATCCCGGGACTCCAGGATCATGACCTGAGCCGAAGGCAGTCGCTTAACCGACTGAGCCACCCAGGCGCCCTGTTTGAGTTTTTTTAAATATGTCATAAATGTCTTTTTAATGTAGTTTGTTTTAGTGAAGGGCCAAAGTCTACAAGTTGCATTTAGTTAGTATGACTCTTAATTCTTTTTTTTTTTTTTAGGATTTTATTTTTAAGTAATCTCTACACCCAGTGTGGGACTCAGACTCACTACCCTGAGATCAAGAGTCACCTGCTGTACCAACTGAGCCAGCCAGGCACCCCTTAAAGTCTCTTTTAATAAAGAAAAGATTCCCTTCCACTATCTTTTCTATTGTAATTTATTTTTTTGAAGAAATGGGCCATTTGCTGCCTTCCGGATTTAGCTGACATTTCCGTCTTACATTGTTCCATATGTTCTTCTTTCTTTCATTTTATCTATGGATTTTTTGTTTGATCTGGAGGGTTAGAAGATTCAGGTTGGATTTTTTTTTTCTTTGATAAGAATACTTGATGGTAATGAAATCAGTTACTATATCATTTCAGGAGGCACATAATTTCTGGTTCTCTCTTTTGTAATGTTAAAATTGATCGTTGGATGTAGATGTTATTAGCTGGTCCATCCACTGTAAACTCCTCAGCCTTTCTTTTTTTTTTTTTTTTAAGATTTTATTTATTTATTAATGAGAGAGAGAGAGAGAGGCAGAGGCAGAGGGAGAAGCAGGCTCCCCATGGAGCAGGGAGCCTGATGGACTCGATCCCAGGACCCTGGGATCATGACCTGAGCCAAAGGCAGATGCTTAACTGACTGAGCCACCCAGGCGTCCTTCTCCTCAGCCTTTCACTTGAAACAGTTAAGCAATCACTAATGATTACTGAATAAATTCATTATTTCATAGGAATTACAAAATTATGATATTCTAATTCTGTTCTAACGTCTTCATTTATTAGCTAGAATCATTCTGTAAGAAACTTTTCCTCATCATTTATTTGGTTATCCTGCAATAGGGATCTTATATGAAAAAAATTAATATAAATCTAATTAATTACCTTTACTGAAAGTAAAAAATCCTTACTTGTTCTGTGATCAAACTGTTTTCCATAACCATCTTCCTGACATGACATGCAGACTTCTCTCCATTATATAGAGCTATTTAGTATTCCCCAAAGTCATCATGTATTTTCCTATCTCCTCACACGTTTGTCTTCTTTGGGAAATGACCTTCCCTACCCTCCATTTTGTATTACACTTATCATCTTTCTTTTTTTTTTTTTTTTAAGATTTTATTTATTTTTGCAAGAGAGAGCAAGAGTATGCACACAAGTTGTGGGGGGTGCAGAGGGAGAAGCAGACTCCCCACTGAGCAGGGAGCCCAATGCAGGACTCGATCCTAGGACCCTGGGATCATGATCTGAACCAAAGGCAGATGCTTAACCGACTGAGCCACCCAGGCATCCTACACTTACCATCTTTCAACTTAAATTCAACTAATAAAAACTTACTGACCCATGTCAAATACACCTTTTCCTTTTTTGGGTCCTCAGTGTGTTCTAAAGAGATTTACTTTTTGACACTTTAGTGAACTTGTGTCTTCTTTTTTCCTTCTTTTAAATCTTAGGACTTTTAAGTTGCTAGAAGATTAGAAACAATTCATTTCTTTTTTCCCAGGATTAGCATATTGACTGGTCCTAAATTGTTCAGAAACTGTATCACAAATTATTCATCCACTTGCTAGAAGACTAAAAGAGCCTATTTCATTTTTCAGTTTTGAAAAGTAATTAACTATAGTATAGAAAAAATGGCAGAAATTCTTTATTGGATTTCTTTCTTCTACAAAATATTGTGTAAAACTAGATATTCAATATGCACTCTGTAAAAAATACCATTTTTTAAAAGTTCCTGTATTAAACAGGTATATGTATTTATCAAAATTTCAAATGGTATATTGTGGATTTGTACATTTCATTGTGAGTAAATTTTACCTTAAGAAAGGTGAACAAATATTACACTCAGGTTAATGATTTGCATTCTCAAGTATTTAGGACAAAGTATACTGGCATTTACAGTTTACTCTGAACTGTATAAAAGTAAGATGGATTGATGGATGGATAAAAAGGATGGATAAATGTGTGAAAACAAAATGTTAATGATAGATCCTGAGTGGTGGGTATACAGATTTTCACTGTGCAGATTCTTTAAAATTTTCTGTATGTTCAAAATCTTCCATAATAAAATGTTAGGGAAATGGGAGGTGAGTTTTTAAAAAGAGGAAGTAGGGGCGCTTGGATGGTGCAGTCGGTTGGGCGTCCAACTCTTGATGTTGGCTCAGGTCATGATCCCAGGGTCATGAACTCGACCCCCACGTCGGGCTCTGCACTCAGCATGGAGTCTGCTTGAGATTCTGTCTCCCTCTGACCCTCCCACTCTTGTGCTCTCTCTCTCTCTAAAATAAATATATTTTGGGACACCTGGGTGGCTCAGTTGGTTAAGTGGCTGCCTTCGGCCCGGGTCATGATCCCACGGTCCTGGGATTGAGTCCTACATTGGGCTCCTTGCTCAGCAGGGAACCTGCTTCTCCCTCTGCTTGTGCTCTCTCTGTCAAATAAAATCTTTAAAAAAAATAAAAAAGTAAAATAAATGTATCTTTTAAAATGAAAAAAAAAAGAGGAAATAAATTAACAACAAAACCCACTTTCCATATTCCTAAATATAGTCTCTCCATCCCCCAAAGCTGATTATTCATATTGAACAGGAATGTGCCCTTACAGGGATCGGTGTCCTTCAGGGATGTGGCTGTAGATTTCAGCAGAGATGAGTGGCAGCATCTAGACCTTGCTCAGAGAAACCTGTACCGGGATGTGATGCTGGAGACCTACAGTCACCTGCTCTCTGTAGGTAAGCACAGTCACTTGGGTCCACAGAGTGTTTCCATTCTCAGTTGCTGAATGCTGTGAGACATCTGAAGTATGATGGTTTTGTCCTTGATTTGTCTAGGATTTTTTTTTTTTAATATTTTATTTATCTGACAGAGAGAGACACAGCAAGAGAGGGAACACAAGCAGGGGGAGTGGGAGAGGGAGAAGCAGGGTTCCTGCCGAGCAGGGAGCCCAATGCGGGGCTCGATCCCAGGACCCTGGGACCATGACCTGAGCTGAAGGCAGCCGCTTAACTGACTGAGCCACCCAGGTGCCCCTTGTCTAGGATTCTTTATCCCCTTGGGCATTCTGAATATTACTCTGTTCCCGGAAATACATGGTTACATTCCTGAAGAACAAAACTTCATTGAACAAGACTTTATTGATTGTGCTTTGAAACATAATTAGCTGATCCAGTCCTTTATCATTTCTTACAAACAGGGTATGACGTTCCCCAACCAGAAGTTTTCATGTTGGAGCAAGGAAAGGAGCCATGGGCATTGCAGGGTGAGAGCCCACATCAGAGCTGTCCAGGTGAGTGAGTGTGATTCAGACAGATGGGAGAAAGGGGAGCAAATCTCAGCTGTTTTGAGAAAGACTGGCATCTTTGAAATGCTATTAAGAGGACTCTTTTGGAAGGCTTTAACTTTTTTTGTATTGCTTGAAGACCCTTGACATTGGCCTCTCAAATGACTAAATGCCTTCATCATGCCTAATTATCTTCTTTGGCTTTTTAGAATCTGGATCACATACCAGTCTGCCTCATTAAAGGTTTTCTTTTTTTCTTGGTTATGCTCCTTTTCTCAAACATTCTTTTTCTTTCTGCCTTCCCCATTGTCCAAGATTCTTTATGCATTCAGGCATTTGTGGATCTGCTTTCTTTCAAAGTTACTGTAAGTCACACACTCCCAGTCCTGGTAGTCCTCTGTCATTTCTTTCTTTCTACTATGGGATGCTTCAGAACATTAACTCCCAGCAGCCTGTCTTCCTGTTTTCTCCATATGCACTAACATAAGATTTCTCATTTCCTCATTCCCCATGCCTTTCACCCAACTGATGACTTAGGGGTAATTGTCTCTTAATCTTTAGGGGGACTTTTTTGATATTTCCTTCCAATGTTGGTTGACTTCACACTAACTGGGGTCTCTCTGCCTCATTGGCTGATTTTTGTAATTGTTTTATTTCTATACTTCACATGATGAAGTTTGAGTTTAATCATGGTCCTCATTCTGGGCACACTGTCATCATCAGTCTGGGTAAAGATTCTCTATTACAGTAGTTGGACCTTATCCGCAATTTCACTTTCTGCAGTTACAATTACCCATAGTCACCCATGGTCTGAAAATATTAAATGGAAAATTCCAGAAATAAACAATTCATAAGTTTTAAATTGTGTGCCTTTCTGAGTAGCATTATGAAATCTCTTGCCATCCCACTCCATCCTGCCTGGGAGTTGAATCATCCCTTTGTCCAGCATATCCATGCTATGAATGGTACCTGACCACTAGTCAGTTAGTAGCTATCTTGGTTATCAGATTGACTCTCATGATATTGCAGTGCTTCTGTTTAACCCTTATTTTACTTAACAGTGACCCCAAAGCACAAGAGTAGTGATGTTGGCAATTTCGATATGCCAAAGAGAAGCCATAAAGTGCATCCTTTAAGTGAAAAGCTGAAAGTTCTTGACTGAATAAGAAAAAAAAAATTAGGTTCGGTACTGTCTGAGGACTCAGGCATCCACTGAGGGTTTTGGAACATGTCTCCTTCAGATAAGGGGGGAACTCCTGTATTTTATTTTTTGATTTATTACCATTTCTTTTTCCCACACCCATCTCACTTCTGACCATAGGCAATTGTTTTATATGATGGAAACATATTTTTTAATGCATGGATATTTTAAAATTTAAAGTGACGGGGTATTATTCATTTATATAAATGTTGCTGTGCTGTATATCTTGTTCTTTGTCTTACTTTTTCCACTTCTGTCCATGGTGGTTTATGTTCATAATGTTTATTTAATCTAACCAGTGAATTATATTGTAGAATGTTTCCTATTACCACTGTCACTAGCCTCTTCATCAAATGATTCACCCTCACCCTTTTCTCTGTTCAACATGGATGAGCCATATGACCCTCCCCTCTAGCCTCTGCTAACTGGTCTTTGAGCTAAAACATCATTCTCCTTTGAGGAGAGTTTAGGTTTCAAACATCACAGCAAAAAATTTCTGAAAAAGCTTCTTTCTACATTAAGAAGGAAGGTGATGCTACAAGTGATATTTTGTTGTATTTCATTCTAGAAGAATTGTGGCAGATGGGTGACCAGATAGAGAGCTATCAGCAAAGAGAAAACAAATCTTTAAGAGATGTTGCTTTCATCAAGAAAATTTTGACTACAAAGGATTATGAATATAAGGACATTAGAAAAATAATTCATGTGAGCCAAAACATTCTTTCACCAAAAAGACCCCATCAATGTGACTCATTTGGAAATGCTTTGAAGCATAATTTAGATTTACACAGTTATTATAGAAACAGTGCATCAAAGAACATTAATAAGATTACTGAAGATAGTAAAATTTCTTCCTGTACTGACCCTGAGTGTTCTCCAACAGGAGAGAAGTTATGGGACCATAATCAATGTGGAAAAATCCTCAGCTATAAACAAGCACCCTCTCAACATCAGAAAATTCATACTGGGGAAAAATCTTATGAATGTGCTGAATTTGGAAAGATCTTCACCCAGAAGTCACAGCTCAGGGTACATCTGAAAGTTCATACAGGAGAAAAACTTTATGTGTGCATCGACTGTGGGAAGGCTTTTGTAAAGAAGCCAGAATTCATTACACATCAGAGAACCCATACTAGAGAGAAGCCCTATAAATGCAGTGAATGTGGAAAAGCTTTTTTCCAAGTATCTTCTCTCTTAAGGCACCAGAGAATTCATACTGGAGAAAAACTTTATGAATGCAGTGAATGTGGAAAAGGATTCTCTTATAACTCCGATCTCAGTATACATCAAAAAATTCATACTGGAGAGAGACACCATGAATGCAGTGATTGTGGCAAAGCATTTACACAAAAGTCCACACTCAAGATGCATCAGAAGATTCATACAGGTGAGCGATCCTATATATGTATCGAATGTGGACAGGCCTTCATCCAGAAGACACACTTGATTGCACACCGAAGAATTCATACTGGAGAAAAACCATATGAATGCAATAACTGTGGGAAGTCCTTCATTTCTAAGTCACAACTCCAGGTACATCAACGAATTCACTCAAGAATGAAACCCTTTATATATACTGAATATGGGAAGATGTTTAATAATAGTTCCAACCTTATTACACATAAGAAAGTTCAAATTAGAGAGAAATCTTCCATATGTACTGAATGTGGTAAGGCCTTTACGTACAGGTCAGAACTGATTATACATCAGAGAATTCACACTGGGGAAAAACCTTATGAATGCAGTGATTGTGGAAAAGCCTTTACTCAGAAGTCAGCACTCACAGTGCACCAGAGAATTCATACAGGAGAAAAATCATATGTATGCATGAAATGTGGACTAGCCTTCATCCAGAAGGCTCACTTGATTGCACATCAAATAATTCACACAGGAGAGAAACCTTATAAATGTGGCCACTGTGGGAAATCCTTTACTTCTAAGTCACAACTCCATGTACATAAACGAATTCACACAGGAGAGAAACCTTATATGTGCACTAAATGTGGGAAGGCATTCACCAACAGGTCAAATCTTATTACACATCAGAAAACTCATACAGGAGAGAAATCTTATATATGTCCCAAATGTGGAAAGGCCTTCACACAAAGGTCAGATTTGATTACGCATCAGAGAATTCATACTGGAGAGAAACCTTATGAATGTGGTACCTGTGGAAAAGCCTTTACCCAAAAGTCACACCTCAATATACACCAGAAAATTCATACGGGAGAAAGACAGTATGAATGCCATGAATGTGGGAAAGCCTTTAACCAGAAGTCAATACTCATTGTGCATCAGAAAATTCATACAGGAGAGAAACCTTATGTATGCAGTGAGTGTGGGAGAGCTTTCATCCGGAAATCAAACTTCATTACTCATCAGAGAATTCATACTGGAGAGAAACCTTATGAATGCAGTGATTGTGGGAAATCCTTCACCTCCAAATCTCAGCTCCTCGTGCATCAGCCAATTCACACAGGAGAAAAACCATATGTGTGCGCTGTGTGTGGGAAAGCCTTTAGTGGCAGGTCAAATCTCAGTAAACACCAGAAAACTCATACTGGAGAAAAGCCCTACATCTGTTCTGAATGTGGGAAGACCTTCAGACAGAAGTCAGAGTTGATTATACATCATAGAATTCACACTGGAGAGAAACCTTATGAATGCAATGACTGTGGCAAATCTTTCACTAAGAAATCACAACTCCAAGTGCATCAGCGAATTCACACAGGAGAAAAGCCTTATGTATGTGCTGAGTGTGGGAAGGCTTTCACAGATAGGTCAAATTTGAATAAACACCAGACAACACACACTGGAGACAAACCTTATAAGTGTGTAGTCTGTGGGAAAGGCTTCGTCCAGAAATCTGTGCTCAATGTCCATCAGAGTATTCACACTTGAGAGGAATGGTATGAGAAAACCTCAGTGAGATCAGGTCTGATTTTACATCATTGAATTTGTTCAGAAAAATATGCATATTATCATAAGTAGAAATACCCCATCAAAATGTCACACATCACTGTACAGAAAAGAGCCTTGAATGAAGGGGGCCCTTCTCACATTGTCACTACCTTCATTAAGCCTTGAGGCATTCATACTAGAAGAAAAAGTAATTTTGTCAATTTGACAGATTAGAAGAAGGCTTCTCACAAAAAATATGATGGAACAGGGACGCCTGGGTGGTTCTGTCGGTTGAGCATCCAGTTCTTGACCTCGGCTCAGGTCTTGATCTCATGGTTGTGAGTTTGAGCCCTGTATTGGGCTCCAAACTGGGCATGGAGCCTACTTTAAAAAACAAACAAATGGGCGCCTGGGTGGCTCAGTTGGTTAAGCGACTGCCTTCGGCTCAGGTCATGATCCTGGAGTCCCTGGATCGAGTCCCGCGTCAGGCTCCCTGCTCAGCAGGGAGTCTGCTTCTCCCTCCGACCCTCCCCCCTTTCATGCTCTCTCTCTCTCAAATAAATAAAATCTTTAAAAAAAAAAACAAAAAAACAAAGACAACATATATATGATGGAACATTGTTACCAAATTCTGCATAGGAAAGTTTATGTTATGTCGTGTTAATGATAATCCTGTTTACTGTGGAATAGGTAAAGTGCCAACAAGTTGAATGGTAGAACAACATAATATATACAATAGTGACAAACCCTAAGTTCTGTGAGATGTTTGCTGCAGAACACATTGTCTGACAATTACAGGTGTTTTTTTCATACTTCTCTTGAATCTAACATGGTTGTGTGTATCCATCCCCCATTGAGTATTTCCATCAAGAAAGAGATAACTCAGTAAAAAAGTTCTTTATGTATACGGACACAAACCTCAGAGTGTATGTTGACCCATTATCCTCTAGCATCATGACTTGTAACCCCCCTTTATCATCTACCAGTAAAGTGTCTTTGACCCTCATGAGTCCCTAGCACATTGTCTTCTGACACCCATAAGTGCATTAGTGCTAAACACTGTGTCTGCTGACTGCCATTACCTCATTTAGCTCCCAGCATAGTGTTTTCTGAACCTCTACTACCCTCAGGAAACTTTCTGAGGTAAGAATTTTCAGGTCATTTTGGTCAGCTTTTCATCCAGTCTCCCTTTTGCTGTCATAGTTCTAGCTCATTTGCCTTCCTTAATGACCTGACATTTATAATAATAACAAATCAGTAACTCATATTTTAAAAATCTTGACATTTGTTCATGTCTTCTCTATGTCCATCTTCATGCCATGGGCTCCACAAGCACCTCTCCCCATGTGCCTCAAACACATCAGTTCAGGTCCTGTCTCAAGGCCTTTGCACTCTCTTTGAAGAACAAAGTTCCTCATATCTGTGTGGTTAGCTCCTTCATGTCTTCCAGTGGCACCTTTTCACAGAGGCCCCTGTGCTTTCCTGCCTGGTTTAAAATTTTGGCCCCCTCCCCTCTATCCTTTATCCTTCTCCATAGCACTTACTGCCATGGTACCCTGTATATTTTACTTACTTGTCTATGGCTCCCACACTAGAATGTTTTTCCCTGTTTTGTTCACCACTGTGAGCCTTGACCTGTGCCTGACAACAACAAGCATTCCATAAATGCACATTGTGGAGTGTTGACCCTGTTCATCACAACTTCCCTTTGATCTTTTCTATATTGCAGCATAAGATGCTCCAACGGGGAGAACAAACTTGCCTAAAACACCAAGCTTTTTCATCTCTAGTTTTTACCTGGGCTGTGCCTCCTTTCTGGCCCTAAAGCTGAAATATCACCATAAACCTTTTGGTCTGATGCCAGCCACTTGAAAGAAGGCAAAACTGATACAGTAGAAATCCCACATAGATGCTTGGTGTTCCAGGATTTCTTACCATGATTCAGAAATACCACAGTGAGCTCCAAAATCATTGCAGAATAGCCTGCTCACTTTGCCCTAGCATGCACAACCTTACCTCACCCCAGACCCTTACCTATAGACCCACTCCTTATGCTCTGACAGGCCCAAAGCTAATAGTATGAAGGGGCTAAGAGCAAACAGGGCAGACCTTCCTTGGAAGTTAGGTGTCTGACCCAAGACTGGCAGCAGTGGCTTCTGATTGAACACTTAGCTGCTGGGCAGCCAAATTGGAACCAGCAGAATGGTTCCTCCAGGTCAGTCCACTGGTAACAACTGGGAATGGGAAGTAGTGGGGTTGTGCAGAGATGCTCTCGCCTTTGTGAACAACAGCATAGTGGTTGAGGATCGGGACAGAACCTGGTCAAGGGGGCAAGCCTAGGAATTGCCCCTTTACCCTCCTCAAATTTCGTAGTGCTTAGTGACACATCCCATTACTCCACCTTAGATCAGTGTCTGATTCATCTTTAGCTCCCTTTCACCTCACCCTTTCACAGTATCTGATGATCTACCATATGCCTTCTATCTTTGAACAATGTATGGTGGGCAACCCACTGTTAACCCCTTTACTTCATCCAGTACTGTATCTGGGGTTTTTCTAAATGTCTTGCAACCCAGAATTCTGCCCCAACTTAGGACAATGTTTGCTGACCCCTTAAGAGAGTGTCTTGAGACCCCCTTATCCTACACCAGCACAGTATCTGGATACCCATTATCCCTCTTTTACTCCACTACTGTGTGTTTATCACTCCTCCTTAATTCCAGGAAATAGTGTCTGGAGATTTTCTCATTACCTCCTCCACAATTACTTCCAGCATAATGTCTGTTACTTCACTTGTGACAAAGTCTAGTAACCTCCATACTCCTCATTTATTCCTACTTTCATGTAAGTAGTGATGCATGACTACTTACTGCAGTCCTCAGAATAGGGAGCTATGATATACTGCCCCCCCACAACCCAACTATTAATAATATCTTTTTTTAAAAGATTTTTATTTATTTATTTGACAGAGAGAGACAGCGAGGGAGGGAACACGGGGAGTGGGAGAGGGAGAAGCAGGCTTCCCGCTGAGCAAAGAGCCCGATGTGGGGCTCGATCCCAGGACCCCGGGATCATGATCCAAGCCGAAGGCAGACGCTTAACGACTGAGCCACCCAGGTGCCCCTAATAATATCTTCTAAAACTCTCTCTATACTTATAGTAGAATGGTTTTTGATCTCCCTCCAATACTTGTCCATCACAACAATGGTAACTAATTATCTCCCATTTCCCCACCTAGCAGTGTCTGTAATGATCCCCAACCCAGCATGTGGTGATGCCCTTAATAACCTCTGAACACTGGTAAGTGCCATTAACCTGCTTTGCTCCCCACAAATAAGGGCAATGACTTATAATGCACCATAAACTCCACATTTTCATCTGCATTTTGGAGCCTCCACTATCCCCCGTCTCTGTAGGACCTCTTAATAACCAGCAAAAAGTGTTGATGCCCATTACCCAGTAACACATTATCTGTGACCACTCCATTAAATCCTGGTAGTATTTGCTTTTCCCCAGTTGGTCCCCACTAACATAATGCTGATTCCCCATTGCCCACATTGCTTCACGAGGCCCCTGAGTGGCTACTGCAAGTTCTCCAGCATTGCTTCTCCACATCCCCACTATTTGCATGGACAGGAGACCTGGAAGAGGGAGAAGGGTTGAGGATGAGATCCTAGCTTCATAGATCCCTCTGGGGAATTAGTGGCCCAGAGTGGGCTAGAGAGGATCTGAGGGCATCAGAAGACCACAAGCTGAGCTTCCCATGATACAGTCAGAGAATAGAGAACAGAGAAGGCTATGGATGTGGATCCAAATCCTGGTGCCAACACTGATCTGCAAACTTTCCCTCCGGGCCTCAATTGCCTCACCTATAAAATGTAATTATGGAGAATGAAGTGACTTAATATAAGTCAGGGCTTATTAAGGGAGCAGGGCTAGTGGAGCTCACTGAGGGTATCCTGTTATTGTTAATAATATTACTAGTTATAAATTGACACAAGCATCTGACCAACATCTGTATGGCTGTGCCCAAACCTCACAGAGGGAAACATGTTATTTTATTGTAAGTTACTTTCAATTATTTCTCTTTTATATGTATTATGATACTGGAGTACTGAGATATTTTTAAAGTCAGATATATTGAGGTATTTATATAAGATAATATTTACTTTTAGTGTACAATTCTGAGTTTTGACAGATGCATACAATTATGTAATCAACACCATAATCAAAGACAGAGAACATTTCCTTCGCTCCCCAAAATTCCTTCTTATCCCTTTTTAGGCACTTTCTCTCCCTATTTCCAGCCTCTTGCAGTCACTAATTTGATCTGTTTCTTGTCTCTATAGTTTTGCTTTTTTCCACAATGTTATAGAAATATGTGTGCATGTACATATGCATGTATCTCCTTTTGAGTCTGACATCTCATTTTATGATTTATTTGAAATTCATCCATATGGTTGTATGAGATACAGATGGAAAATAAGCTAATGAAAAGATGCTCAACATAATTAGTCAGAAAAATGCGAATTAAGACCATGATGAGATACCACTACACACTTATTAGAATGGCTTTAAAAAAATTTTTTTTAAATAGTACCAAAAGTTGTTGAGGATGCATAGCAGTGGAAACTTTCATGTGTTGCTGTTGGAAAGGTAAAGTGGTTTATCCACTCTGAACCAAAATTTGGCAAGTTCTTATAAAATTAACCATATACTAACCCTATGACCCAGCAATCCCACTCCTTGGTACTTAACCTATAGAAATGAAAAATTACATATGGACTCAAATGTTCACAGAAACTATTGCCAAAAGATTGGAAACAGACCAAATATCATCAGTGGGTGAATAATTCAGCAAATTGAAGGACAGCTATACGATGGGATACTACTTACCCATAAAAGGGAATGATTTATTGACACAAGCTACAACGTGGATGAATCTCAAAAGTATTATGTTTTACCATGTGATAATTTAAATTATATTTGATAAAAAATTATTAGATATTAGATTATAAATATAAATAGGTTTGTATAATTTTATGTGCATATTATTACATATTATAGTAATATTGTATATTTACAATATATAGCACATATTTATTGTATATTCCTTATAATAAAATGCTTATTTTATGATATATGTATTGTATGATTATTGAATTATATAATTTTTATAATATATCAAACTTTCACATAACACTTCAGTTATTTGTATTTTTACATGTTTACGTAAATTTAACGTTTATAGTGTAAAGTTGTAACTAGAATAAAAGGGAGCTTATTGTCTGGAGAGCCTGCAGTTGTAGCTGGTCAACATTTTTAATATTTGTCAACAGCTCAACTCTGGCTGTTCTTAACAAGGAAGTTTGCTCCACTTTGCCCAGCTGTGTTCTCTGAGAGTACTCTGTCTCCCCAATGCCCATGCAGCTTCCTGTCTTTTCCATTCTTTGGAGAACCCCCTGCCACCATCCTTCAACCATTGTATGTGAAGTAACACTTCTTGTGATCACTTTGTATTTTGTACTGTATTTGTGTTGCAAGTACCACCATCTGACCTGATATTAAATATTTCTGTTTTTGGTTTATCATTCACCCCTCCCCACTGGACTGTCAACTTCATGATGCCCAGACTTTATCTTGTTCTTACTGTGTTCAAGGCACCCAGCATAGCACTAGCACAAAGCAGACACTCTGTATAAGTTTTTTTTTTTAAGATTTATTCATGAGAGAGAGAGAGAGAGAGCCTGCTCGGGTGGGGGGAGGGACAAAGGGAGACACTCTTCAAGCAGACTCCCTGCTGAGCACAGAGCCTGAGCTGGGGCTCAATCCTATGACCCACCACACCCTGAGCTGAAACCAAGTCAGATGTTCAACCGACTGAGCCACCTAGGCGCCCCTCTGTATAAGTTTGTTAAATGGAAGAATGAATGATAGTAATAGCAGCAAGGCTGACCAAGTGCCCCACACCAAGTGAGCTAAACTCATGGTGGGGGGGAGGTGAGGGAGGGAAGGTAGGTTGGTTACATGCCCCCTAATTCAAGATTTAATGCCCCTTCCCACACCTCAGCATATCTAAGCCCTAACCCTTCCTCACCCAACCTCAACCACCCCATCCTTCCCCTCCCCAGTATATCTGACCTGCATCCTTTCCCAGCATCCACAAGGTCAGTGCTGTGTCTCCTTACTCAGCCTCCTGGTTGCAGTGGGCAAGCCATGTAGAGTGGGGAGGGACAATAGCAGGGAACCAATAGGGGCCCTCCTGTCAGCATCCACCCCAGCACTTCTGTATCCCATGATCCCATGTGGTCTGCCCTGCCTCCTCCACCAGAAGAACCACCAGTGGATATGAAACTCTGGGGACAAGAGGAAGGTGGCAGCGCTGAGGCTTTCCAGCTCCAGGCACCTTGCCGGACAATAAATATGACACAATGTGGCAGGTGACCCTGTGGCAAGGTTGGGTTAAAGCCATAATTGTCATGGGCACTTGCCCTAATAGCAGGATAGGCTGAGCCCTTCACCCTCAGCCGTCAATTGGGGTACTGGTGCTGGTGTGACTATTATCTATATTATATTATCCCCTAACCACACCCCACCCCACTTTCCATGCCATACATCATACCATACCATACACAATACCATACCAGTTATTAACCATTTTACTTAATTCCATAATTATATTGATTCTATTACTGAAGTATAATTAAATGTATCAAAATTTCTGCCATTATTTATACTATGCCTGTAATTATTAAGATATGAATAAGACAAACTCTGATGCTAAGAAATCCTGTATCCCTTCTGCTTTCTGCCACCTTCAGGTCAGTGGTGTTTGCACTGTGTACCACAATGATAGTGCCACTTATAGAGGTAAAGTTTTTTTTCCCCCTTCTGTGAAATGAGCTCAATTAGATTACTCCCTTAGTGATATTATGATTGTACTATTTTAATATTTATTATAATGGGCATTGCTATTCAAACAAAAACTGGTGTTCTGTTTCCATCTGTTAAACAGGACAATGTGAATGCTACTTTAATACAATCATTTGAATTACATTAAGGTTATGACTATAATTGGGTGCCTGGCTGGCTCAGTTGGTAGAGCATGCAACTCTTGATCTCAGGGTCATGAGTTTCAGGTTCATATTAGGTGGAGAGATTACTTAAAAAGATAGGACTATAGGAGCGCCTGGGTGGCTCAGTCGGTTAGGTGTCTGCCTTCAGCTCAGGTCATAATCCCAGGGTCCTGGGATCGAGCCCTACATCGGGCTCCTTGCTCGGTGGGGAGTCTGCTTCTCCCTCTCCCTCTGCTGCTCCCCCTGCTTGTGTTCTCTCTCTCTCTGTCAAATAAATAAAATCTTTCTTTTAAAAAAAAGATAGGACTATAATTAATGTCAATTCTGAGAACCCATGGTGTGTTCCATTGCATTCTGGAAAATGGCACGTTTATAATGCATTGCTGACTACAGTATTTATTGCTATGTAACAAGCTACCCAAAACGTAATGGCTTAAGGGCACCTGGGTGGCTCAGTCGGTTAAGCATCTACCTTTGGCTCAGGTCATGATCTCAGGGTGCTGGGATCGAGCCTCATGCTGGGCTTCCTGCTCAGTGGGGAGTCTGCTTCTCTCTCTCCGTCTCCCTCAGCCCTTCCCCCTCGTGTTCACTCTCTTGTGCTCTCTCTCTTAAATCTTTAAAAAAAGAAACTTAATAGCTTAAAACAATAATAAACATGGGGCGCCTGGGTGGCTCAGTTGGTTAAACGTCTGCCTTTGGCTCAGGTCATGATCCCAGGGTCCTGGCATCAGGTTCCCTGCTCAGCGGGGAGCCTACTTCTCCCTCTCCCTCTGCCTGCCAATCCCCCCACTTGTGTTCTCTCTCTGTCAAATAAACAAAACCTTTAAAAACAAAACGAACAAAACAATAAATATTTATTCTCTCAGTTTCTGAGGGCCAGAAAGCTGGGACTAGCTTAGCGAGGTGGTTCCAGCTTAGGAACTGTCATGAGGTTACAGTCAAGATGTTGGCCAGAGTTGCAGTCATCTGAAAGCTGATTGAGGCTTGCAGGATCTGATTCCAAGCCAGTTCACATGACTATTGGCAGGCCTTAGTTCCTCACCATATGGGCCCCACTTAGGGCTCTTGAGTGTACTCACAAACATGGTGGCTGAATTTGTTATATTGGTCAACCCATTCATTGTGGAAGGGGTTTGAATACCAGGAAGCAAGATTCATTAAAGAAAATCTTGGAGACTAGCTACCACAGAAACATTGTGATTATTTGCATTTATGTTAATATTATCATTGCAACTGATAACACTATTAGGAATCATAACAGTCTTGCAAACCAGAGGGAAATAATCCACATATTACACGGTTTAAATGACAGAACCCAGTACACAGTGCTAATAGTGACTGATGATGATGATGATGATGATGATAATGATGGCAGCAAATTTTATTAAGTGTCTGAGAGACAGTCCCTGTCTAGGCACTTTAAATCTATAATAAATCAATCCACACAACAATGCTTAAGATGGGCTCATTATTATTCCTATTTCACAGATGAAGAATGTGTGTCATAGAGAAGTAAAGGAACTTGCCCAAGGTAAAAAGTAAACAGCAGAGGGGGGATTCAAAGTCAGGCCAAAATGTGGAAGGAGCCAAGATGCCCTTCAACAGATGAATGGATAAAGAAGATGTGGTACAGATACACAATGGAATATTATTCAGCCATCAAAAAGGATGAATACCCACCATTTGCATTGACATGGATGGAACCAGAGGGGATTATGCTAAGTTAAGTAAGTCAAGCAGAGAAAGACAATTATCATATGGTTTCACTCATATGTGGAACATAAGCAATAGCATGGAGGACCACAGGGGAAGGGAGGGAAATCTGAAGGGAGAGAAATCAGGGAGACAGACCATGAGAGACTATGGGCCACGGGAGACAGAATTTTGGAAGGTCCAAAATCAAGGTGACAGCTTTTATGGCTTCTGATGAGGGCTCACTTCCTGCCTGGCTGCCTTCTCCTTGTGTCCTCACATGGTGTTTCTTTGGTGCATGTGCATGGAGAAAGAGTGAGCTTTCTTTTTCCTCTTCGTATAAGGCTAACTACCAATCCTATTGGATTAGAACTCCATTCTTATAACTTCATTTAGCCATAATGCCCTCCTAAAATCCCTATGGCCAAATACAGTCACATTGCAGGTTAAGGCTTCAACATAAGAATTTTAGAGGGACACAGTTCAGTCTGTAGCACCTTCCAAAGGACATTCCTTTCTTTGAAATCTGTGGTGCTAACTCCAACCATCAGGTGGTAGACAGTATTTCTGATTGTACAGTTTTAGCATCAGAAAAGTTGGTGTTGCCCTTGGTTCAGGAAACCCCTGTATTTCTCACTTTGTATCTCTCAATTCCCATTGGGAGAAATCCTCATTCCAACTGCAGAATAAATTATCTTCTTGGCCAAGCTGGAGACTCCACAGAATCACTTTTATTCTTTTGAAGTATCATTTAAAACCAAGAGAGACAGAGGCACCTGGGTGGCTCAGTTGGTTAAGCATCTGCCTTTGGCTCAGGTCATGATTCTGGGGTCCCGGGATCAAGCCCCACATTGGGCTCCCCACTCAGCGGGGAGTCTGCTTCTCCCTCTGCCCCTCCCTGCACTCATGCTCTCTCTCTCTCTCTCCCCCTCAAATAAAATCTTTAAAAAAACAACAACAACAAAAAAACAAGAGAGACAGCTTTAAATAAGAGTAGCTGGCTGAGGCCTGGGAGGCTTATCTCCTCTTCCTGACAGTCCACGTCCATAGAATGACTACATTCCATAGTGACTGCCTTCTTCTAGCACTGCTGATTCCCAACATCATCAGCTAATCTTAATGATCAAGGACTCCTCTACCTGCCTTATACACAAACTAAGCAGAATCATTTTAACTTACTTTACCTCATGTGGGTGCAAAAGAGGGAGGTGCTAATATCATCCTACCTGCTTTACAAAGGGGAGTCACAAGTATTCACACCCTGGAGAGAATGAAGTTATGAATTGACCCATCATTCCTGAGGCAGGAAAGGCAGAAAGCTAGGGTCAGAAGCAGTTCAGAAATTAAGGGTAACACACACCAGGAAATAGCATCAATCTCCCATAGCTCAATGCCTCCTGACACTGTTTTGTTCGCACAATATGGAAATGGATTGTTTCATGACATAGGTAATCATATGTTGTTTTGGAAGCTATAGAGAAGAAAGGACATTTTCTGTTTCTTATCCTGTTGAGAATTCCCTCACCAGCAGTAGGAGGGCCTAGAATTATTAAACTTGAAACACAGAAATTGCATAGTGAATCCTGAGGCCAAAGGGAGCTCCCGAAGATGTTTAAACTGTGAAGAGGCATAAAGAGGATGCACACAGGAAGAACCATAGCATTTTTGGTTCTCCAGGATATTTTTTAAAATTATTATAACTAAGTAAACTGATATTGGGCCTCGCTACTCATATCCAAATTATCTGGATGATTTTTTATTACATAGATTTCTGGGCCCCACCACCAGTTTCTGATTCAGGAAATGTGGACTGCGGACTACGAATCTGAATTTCTCACAGGTTCCCAGGTGGTGGTAATACTGTTGGTACTCAGATGACACTGTAAGCAACACAGACCTAGAGAGGTCAGTGGTTCACTCAAAGTCATAGAGCTTAGTAAAAGGTAGAGATGGGAACTGAAGCCAGCAAGTGTGAGTCTAGAACCTAAGGGATACCTGAGAGAGGATGGATGGTAGAATTTCAACAAATATCCTCCTGCCAGAGGCCTGGTTATGATTGATCCAAGGAATCTTTCCTGGTCCCCCAGACAACTCAGTGAAGTTGAAGAACATGTGTGAAACAATCAGTTTTGAGGGACTAGGAGGGCACTAGAAGGAAACTTAGTTGTATATGATAAAAAACCATGACTATGCTTAGAACAGATGTAAATCTTTGTAACCTTGGCTTAAGCAACAGTTTCTTAGGTGATGTCTAAAGCACAAGCAAACAAAAAATAGGTAAACTAGACTTCATCAAAATTAAATACTTTTTTGAGTCTGAGGACATTATCAAGATGCAAAGAACCCACAGAATGGGAACAGTATTTTCAAATCCTCTCTCTGATAGGAATCTAATTTCCAGAATATATAAAGAACACTTAGAACTCAACAATAAAAAGACAAATAACCCAATCTAAAACGAAGAATTTGAAGACATTTCTCCAAAGAAGACATACAAATGGTCAATAGCCCATGGGAAAATGTCCAGCATCATTAGAGAAATGCAAATCAAAACCACAATGAAATACCACCTTTGTACCCATTAACACAGTCATTTAAAAAAAAGGAAAATAGTAAGTGTTGATGAGGTTGTGGAAAAACTGGAACCCTCACAGATTGCTGGCACGGATTTCACATACCTGTTGGCCGTTTTTATGTCTTCTTTGCAGAAATGTCTATTCAAATCTTTAGCCCATTTTTAAATAGAGGTATGCAATGGGTTTCATTTCTTTGTTTTGCTATTAGGTTGTAGGAGTTCCTTATATTTCTTTTAGAAATTAACTCCTTAAATGACATCGCTTGCAAATATTTTCTTCCAGTCCATGGGTTGCTTTTCACTCTGTTTTTGCTTTGCTGTCAAAAGCATTATTTGCTTTTAATTTGATGCAGTCTCACTGGTCTGTATTTGCTTTTGTTGCCTGTG